ATTACCTGTGAATCTAATTAAACAAGGACAAGTAATTAAATAAATGTCACAATTACTATTTTATTTATGTGCTAGAAATATATTAATTTTTTTTTTTTTTTTTCTACATGTATCGTTTACATACACGTTTTTCTTTTCGATATCGGAGAATGATATCGCGTTACTCGCCTAGAGCAACACAAAAAATGCAAGAAAATAGTTGGATACATCGAAGGTAATTGGCGAAATGTTGAACCAGCAAAGGATATTGAAAACAGAAAGTGTTTTCATTGAGTTTACCCGACAGCGCAGGCCATTCGTTACGTTTTGACATTATCCAATGTATCACAGAAAGGAACTGTATATTATTCCGTTAGTTTGTACCATGCGAAAGCTCTAACAACGAACTAGCTTTTGCCTTTGTTTTCAACGCCATTTAGCCATTCTTTTCCTTTGCTGTTATATGCATCATATTCGAATCAGATGGATATTGTTATCCATCTAATTCGAAAATACGATGTTACGTATATTATTTTAGCAGAAGTATCAATTCTTCAGTTTTAGTATTGTGAGACAAAGTATTTATCTTCTCATTATTTTTTCCGTATTATTATTAATTAAAACACTATATATATATATAAATGTTACTACTAGAGATCTTGATATTCTTATTAACATTTAATAAGTATAATTGTAATTGTTAATTATGCAATCTATTTCTTTATTTCTTACATTTGATGTGTGTAAACGTCATATCTTTTCATATAATTTACAGTAATAAAATAATACATTTTTATATATTCACTTCATTTCTCGCGAGCAAAGTAATTTAAGTAGTTGCAGAGTAGTTTAAACATTCCATAGTATATTATACATAGCTTGTGAAAAATTAAATTGTGCGGTTTTCAAAAGGTTCAAAGCACATGGCAAAGTATATGATCGTCTGTATATGCCGTTGATTCGCCGTCACGTACAATTTTTTTAAATCTATTTTTCTTCGTTGCCTTTCATGTGCCAGATTTCGCTCCCATTTCTTGTCACATCTCCCATCTCCATTCGTTTTGCTTGTCGTCTTTTCTTGCCTGAATGCCGCGCAACAATCCTCACCTAACTCAAGCACAACCGTAGCTAAGACGAGCGAGGCAATCCTGTCATTCGAGGTAGTCGCACTACTCCGATCTCCTTGCCGATCCCGAGCATCGACATTTCGATGGCAAAACCACCCCGCTATTTACTCCGCCACCACTTTCCTTGATCGCCGGATGCACATTCCGATTTGGTTTACAACTTTCGATGTGACCGAACGAGAGACGAACTTTAAGTGGATTGCGCGCGGTATATCAGCGTATGACGGTATATATGTAGAAGAGAAGACACAAAATCGTAAGAAATTACGATGTATTTATTGGGCTATATCTTTGAAATGCGTACTAAAATGTACGATTAGAACCAAGCGTTTAAAAGAGATATCGGAACATTTATAGACTATGAATTTAGAATAAAATGACTTTTGCTGCATAATCTCTCATCGCGATGGATACTTCTTTTTTATACGCAATATATATAAGGTCGCGTTTAATGACTCGGACCATATTATATTTTCTTTTAATCGCGCTTTCGATAATTGTTAACATAATTTAATCATTACATTTTTGTAGCGAAGAATCTCAGAACGCTTATACTAGTCCATATTCTATCTTACCTGAAACATGGCGACTCGTAAAATGGCGGAAAGAAACCTTGGCTGTGAAAGCATCTACTTTAGAAAAGAGCAGAAAGAGATATTTCGTCGAAATCGCATGAGGATTGGGAATGTATTGCTGCGAAGTAGAGAACAGTGGAATTGGCAGATCGATAACCCGAGGGTTAATGTTGGATAATTCGACCGGGACAGATTGTCCGGAATCCCGTGGGTCCGGCGCCGCCGGAAGATAATTTCGGAGAGACACTTCGATAGGATTGTCTCGGCTTTTGACAAATGGCTCCACGTGAACGTCTTATAGTCGGCGTTTCTCATTCGCGATGACGCAGTGACTGATGATCTCGTGTGCACATCACTTTTCTGCTGGTATATTATCCGGTTAGGATAGAGCGCGATTTCCAATTACTGAGACATCTCTCAGTTTTTAGCGTGTATGTCGTTCATTGAATATTACTGTGAATTCCTGGATCGTTCTTAGATTAATTAATATTGTTGTTACAATTATTATCGCCTAGCGCGTTTTATGATTTATATCATATGTCACTATTGACATAAGCTATTGCTGACAAACAATTCTTAAATATTAATTGATATTATTACAATATTTACATTTTGTGAAAAATACTCTTTTATTAGATATTGATACTACACTGATAAATAGTACAAAACAATTTTACATTTTACATTGATTCACCGTGAAAACGATGCGTAAAACTTTTAATCAGAATGTAATGTTAGTTTTACGACCGATTGGCGCGTGTGGATATAATCAAGTGTATAAATTTATAATTGACCAATAAACGGATATGTCCGCGTAATCGCGACATATACCGGCATACGAGATATCATTCTGTGACATCTTTCCACAGCAGAATAAACACAACGTAATGTTTCGCAGCGACACAATGTCGCTGTGGTGAAAAACGAATCTTTCTGGCGTTCCAGCCAGATATTCGAACCGCCATACGTACATAGTACATCCCTGTTCTCGTTCAATCCTATTCTCCATTTTTCTTCCTCACTTTCGGGTGTATATATAGACCCTGCCTTCTTCTCTCCGAATATTGCCGGAAGTTCTGCCACCGTCGCCTCTCCCTCCGCGCGTCACATACCAAAGAAAAGCGTATGACCGAGGCGTTTGATATCTGCGACGCAATTCCGTTATCGCGCGATGATGATGAAAACGGCAACGCCTTGTCGAAACGAAAAATCCGGAAAATATCCCGGAATCTATCGGAACTTTTATGCCACCAAAGTAACGCTCCGCTCGCTGCTTCTTCCGTTTCTACTTGCGAACGAGCAGCGAGCCTCCGGATCGATAACGCTGGGCTATGCTTGTCACCCGATAGCTAGATATACCGTACTTCCGGCCGCGTCGGCAGAATCGTAAACTAGAGGAGCATCGCGTGGCATTATCTCGATCCGGTTCATTAACATAGCCAACCGAATGGACTCGCCAAATCGTACCTAGGCAACTTACGCTCTCGTTTTATGCGCGATAAATTGCATCCTAGCGAAGCGCTTCGATTGGAGGGAACCAGACGCTGGTAATCTCGGAGCTTGTCTTAAAACTCTAGCGGCGGCACGATTTCCAGATGAGAAAGTATATTCTTCTTTTTCGTTGCCGTCGCGCATCGCTGCGAAAGAGAAGCGATGTTACGCTAGATGGGCGAGACTATGTAAAATAGCGTGGAATAAACTTTCCCATTGCTTTTAATATATGCTTGACTGTGTACAGCAGAATACGATTAAATATGTGGTCGATTGCTTCAACTGTGTACCTTCGATTCCTTTTCTTCCCTTACATACAATATTCTAATATACACTTTCAAATTCTCGATTGTGCTTTTTACTGTGCCGTGCTTGCAGAAATGATTTATAAGGATATCTCTCTCTCTAAATTTTCTCTATATATCTATCTGTAAAATGTGGATTTTTGTAATTTACATAAAAAGAGACATAAAAATTAATAATAAAAAATACTCGAGTATTAGTAAAATAAATATTGTCTTTACTGTGGAATAAAGAAAGAATTGAAGTTTTTATAGTTCGAGATGATTTTATTTTTTTACGAAATTGCTAACGTAATTAATAAGATTAACATTTCATATGTATGCTTGTATTTACGCGACATTTGTTTTTTTTTCTATTTTTACGCAAAAAAGAGTTATATTTTTTTAATAGTTTGGCTGAATGTTGGCTATTAATATTCTTCTCTTAACTATTCTTCTGATATTTCTCGCTGGCACTTGACAAGATTCTCACGCTTATTGAATCGCGCATCGCAGATGTGAACTAACGGAGGCTGGAAACCAGTGATTTTGTACATTTACATGATCTACTTTTCGCTCGTGCAGCACGATTCACCTTATATTCTTCCGTCGCGTTCCTCTTTGCCCGCGAGTCCTCTTTTCTGATACAAACCATTTTGCGCTTGAAACTATAACTGTCACGAAGAGATTTAATTTTCATTGGTCAGCAGAGTTTGGTGAATGCCCGCGGCCATTATGTGTTCAAACTCTTGATCGTTGTTAACAGAATGTATAATCTATGGGCAGCTTAGTCATGTACATGTATGAAATATCGATTGTTAGTTATTGTTGCGTTGCTATCATAAGCTAATCACGTATACGAATTTCAAATTCGAAGCATTTCATTTTGAAATTACATGTTATTTTGCATAAAATATAATACTCGGTAACGCTATATTTCTTATTGTTAGCCATATGAAAGGAAAATGAATTTCTTGAATGTATATGCGTGTTTTTGTCCAAGGAATTATTAAATATAATACTCTAACAAACGACGTTTATTTCTATTTTGATGTTTATATTTATATTAAATGTAAAATCAAATTGTTTACTGTAATTTGATTTAAATAATCATTCTTAATAACAAAAAATAGTTATATTAATATTTATATTAATACATGTGCGAATATATTTACCTATTTATTTCCACTATACTTCTGTCAAAGAAATAATTATTCTTGCTTTTATGTTTTCTGCGTCGAAAGATCGAGTGAATATTTTTTTTGAATAATTTGATTGTTGGATTTGTCAAACTGATTAACCTGTGATTAACAATACGTTTGTTAAGAATTTACTAAGTATATATACATGAAAATAATTCGCCAAATGACAGATGGCTTATTATCATTAACGGCGATTTTCTGGGCACACTTGCCACAGGCAGTAACTACTTTCTCATCGCAAATCTTTTCTCTGCCTGTGCGAGTCATTCCAAGGACCTTTCTTATGTAGGAATCTAATGTCGGCGGAATCCAACGTTGTATCTTATATCCTGGCGGAAAGTTACATATACCATGAAGGGCGAGAATCCGTATGTGAAAGAAAACGACGATTTTCGTTATAAAATGAGTTTATTTTCTCTGTACCATATATGCTATGTACAACGTGTGTGTTACGGTACTGACATATACGACGTTTGAAAAAAGATACGTCTTGATAATGTAGAAAAAAAATGGAAATTAATTAGAAACACGCACGCATTACGTTTAACGTCAGCGGAGTGATTCGTTAAATTACATAGCAGTTTCAGTGCGTGGCTGATGTGACGGGTGTATTATTAAAACGGTAGTTAGTATGCCGGTTGTGTATGGGCAGGGAAAAAAATAGGCGTGATAGGATACGAGTATTCTTGAAGGGCAATATACGTTAACGTAAGAAATAAATAAGCGATTAATGCTGGTGCGCGGATATAACATATAAGGACGCTCGCGATCGTCGGGTAAGTTCTGTACGTGACGTATGTGTTCACGAATGAAAATGGTTTAATTTAGCGAGAGGCGACGCGCACTCTCAGCAGCAGGATGGCAAGGAGAGGAGAATGGAGGGAAGGCGAATGGATGGCAGGGAGTAAGGGAAAACGAAAGAATGGATACAAGGAGATGGGGGATGGAAAGGAAGACGTATAGGACGTAGAAAAAGCAAAAATACACGCTTGTCATGGTACAGAACAGACTCGAGCTTTTCGAGCTTACGACGGAGCAGGCGCGCACCTCAGGCTCGAGGACAAGCACCGACATCTCTACAAACTCGTGGATACTCTTGATAAAAAGTACGTGGTATAAACATAATCCTCATTAAGATGGGCGATAGGAGCGGAGGGATGGGGAATGGACGGAAGAAGGAGATGAAGAAGAAGCGAGTGGTACTTGTACGCAGAAACGCAGACGACGGCGCCGATCGCGTTGAATTGCTCGCGGCTACCCGAGTCGGCCATTCGGGATTGCAGGCGCGTTGATATCATCGAGAGAAGTGATCGTCCTCGAGCCCAATATTATCTTTCCTTCGCAATTGCCTTCCGCGGTCTCGATCTCAGTGCCAAGACCGCGGGCGCGTTAACTTAATATTAATTATGTTATTATATTGATGAAACATGATTGCTCCTTTTACGTTCATCGTAAACGCATTAAATGTAAGACAATTAATTAATTAATGATAGTCCTTATACTCTTCGCGTACTCGGCAGTTTCCATTGAGTTGGATCAAACGTCAGAGCGACTGGGCATGGTGTGCATGCCGCGCACATACAGTTCGATCAAGTCGATGAAAAGTGCTCACACATTCGTTATCGTGTTATACTCGAAACGCTTGTTGTCTACGAAGTGACGCGAGAAAATCTTGCACATCTTCGCCCATGAAGAATAATGACTTAGGATCTATTCCAGCAAGTTTCCGCATTTTACACCAGAGACAACTTGATCTCTTTTTGCATTCGACGTCTCTAGTCGGAGACCGCTTCTCGCAGGCGAGGCGAAGAATTGTCAGATTTTTCTTGCGTCACTCCATATATACGCTCATACATATATACGTTGTTGAAATTACATCGCTAAAGCGTTGCGCGGAGCGACCGCACGCGCACGTTTGCGCTTCGAGTGCGTTCACGCACGCATTAGCGCAGTGCGCGCGTTCGCGCGTGCAACACCACGTTTGAGAAATTGCGTTCGTACAAAAATATCGTCGAACATGTATAAAATTGGCTCTACCCTCTCACCACAAGCAGGTTGGATATACTACTGCAGCGTTAGCGCAAAAATTCTTAAACGTAAATCCATATAATTCAAGGGTTATCTTTTTAAAAAGTAAAAATGACAAAAGATAAAATCGCGTTATGCATGTCGCATCACTTATCGTACGCGTAGGCACCTTCGTTGGCATGTTTATCATCGTTTATGTATACGTGTGTATATATTTATATTTATATATTTTTATATTTATATATTTACTTGTATTTATATACTTATATCAAGCGGGTCACGCATAGAAGCAGCAGTGAAGCGGAAAGAAAGTTATCGAGCAAGTCGCATCCGCGACTAAGAACGATACGAACATCGGCGTACTCGTTACATCCGTAATGCGAAAGTAATTAAACCGCACTTCGCGGAAATATACCGGAAAAACGTTAGTCGCGCTTGTGTTTTCTGCATTTCAATTATTGCCTTGTGTGCTTCGCGGAATCAATGGTGCTTGATTTAAGGATCGAAATTCCATTTGATTCGGTGTCGACGCTCCAACGGTCTCGCGCAATGCAGCAAAGCCTAGCAATATCCACGGCAATTAGATCCAATAATTAAAGCGTGCACTGGAATTCTGGATGGACAAAACATACGCGCAGTCTCTGTCATTGCGCATCCTTTTTCGTTCAATTTTGGCTATTGTCGTTGCGTTAGCGACCGCTAAACGTTAATAGTGAGTTACACGTGCGGCAAACGTTATACGTGGTTATTAGTTATTAGATATGATGGATATTGTCTTGCTTGCATCGACAAATTTTTCGAATCCTAAATTGGTTCTTTATACGATTATTTTAGCATCTAACGGATCGAGTTCTTATTAGATAACATTATCGCGCGTAAGATAAAATTTTGTTGCGAGCAAGCACATGATGATTGTTTGCATACATAACGGTTTCGATGCGTATGAATAAAAGCAAAGTCTGAGGTACACGAATCTTCACCATGCCATAAGTAAACGTCAAACATCAGAACAATCCAAAGTTCGGTTAACCGTAATGCAAACACTTCAGAACGATTGGAAGCTTTCATTTCGTCTCTCTTATGCCCCGTGTTTGTCTTAACGAGTGTATTTTAATCCTCAAGTTTCTCAATTAATCCGATCTCTCTGAACCCGTCTTGTGTGCCTTGGAAATCGATAAGGCGCCACTGGCACAATTATTCGATTTGTATTTCCCTTTTTTATAATGCATTACACGCACTAATTCGATGCTAACTTTTATTCCGCTTTACATATTTTAAAGCAAGATAAAATCTGAATCTCGATATGGCAAAATTAAACAGTTATTTCAATTGTTGTTATAAAATTATATAGGTTAAAACATAAATTAGTAATCTGTATCTCGCATACCACTTGATTATTAATTTTGAGAAGTATTTTATATCATGTAAAAACTGATATTCTTTTCTCAATTTTTTTTTTGTTTTTCAACTTGCCGCAAAAGTAACGCGAATTTGATAAATACATTTTATAGTTTTTGTAGTTTATACAGAAAATGTACACTAACTGTTACGAACTGGATTTGTCTGTGTTTGACATTATCGATGCGGCATTGTCCTTTAGAATTTTCTCTCAAGATATCCGGCGATGGAATGGCGGACCAATAGAGCGCATTATTCTGTTGCTTACCAGTGCGTAATCACGGTACGAAGAAAATTCTTTCCATTATACCAAGCAAACAATTTTTGATAGCTTCCTTCAAGTCAAGTAGGCCAATCTAGATTGATAAGCTCAGGTGTTGCGATGTAAATTAACCTGGCCGCCACGGGATGACTAAGGGTAAGGGATATGGCTAAGGTTAAGTCGGAAATCGAGGTTACGTGGCACCGGTATGGAGAGATGGCTATCCTTGATGTGATTCTGTGCTCTCTCTCTCCCCCCCTTGCTTCCTCCTTACCCCCTCTCTCTCTCTCTCTCGTCTCCCCTTTACTCCGGAAGCTAGACTCAACCCCATCAAGTGTTACTCCCACAAGCTTAGCTTAACCCCGAGACGCCGCAAGAGGCAATTAACCTTCCGCCAAACCCTTTGGTTGGCGCGCATACCTTCTACCCCTCTTCACCGAGCTCACCACGTTTTGATCCTACTACCGTTTCTCGTTCCGTTTCAATCCCTTCTCCCTCTTTCATCCCCGTGCTTAACTCGCCGCCCGATCTCCTCGTTGCGATGTCCTTCTCTACACATCTGCATAATCATGCCCAATTCCCAATGCTAATTAGAGACTAACACCGGTTGCCTATCCGGCGTAGCGAATACACGTCGCTCCATCATCATATGGAGCCAGGAACGTGCTGAGAGACGTCTCGCATCGCGTTACGTCAGCTCGCGAAAAGAAGAGATGGTGAAAGCGCTTTTTAAGGGCAAGATGAGAAACGAAGAGGAAAGAGCGGCGAGGAAAGGATGGTACACGTGGGCGTAAGAAACCGACCAAACTCGCGCGCGAAATCGATTACTCTCTTCGCGGCTGAATTTTTGCACCGTTACATTATCAACTACTCATCAACGGAAGAGGTGTGGCGAGATCGCCACTTTCATCACGGAATAAAGTAAGAAATCGATTTAACCACGGCGCGAGGCGTGTGATTCTCGGTATGCCACGATCAGATACGGATTAAGTATCGACGCGATATTACGAGACGTTTCCTCTTTTCCTTTTTCTTCTTTTTCCTCTATCGTGCCCATTCAATCTGCTTCTAAGAAACGTCCCTCTTTAGACGGCATCGACTTTCGTTGAACCGGGGTACGCATACGCACGAAGGTCGCTTAGACATTGAACGTCACGTTAATTAAAGGTTGCCGGTACGGATCGTAATTGCAGTCTTGCTCCTTCCACGAAATAACCGGCCGCACCAAAGACAGAACGACGAGATTGATGATATATTCGGTACGATTCGTTACGCCGCGACCTTGGCTAGGAATACCGAACGGGAAACACTGATATTTGTGCCTCAATAAGCGACAGATAGCAAGTAATCAAGCGCAATTGTGCTAATTATTTCGTTCGGTAATTCTACCGGCATTATTAGCACGTGTGCATATGCGAATGTACGTATATAATTGCGTTGCTCCACCCGGGAAGATGAGCGTAGAAACAACTTCAATTAAGTGATATAACGATATCGATTTTCTTATGCTGCCAGCTGCGTGGAAATGAAGTTTGAATAGAAAAAGAATATGCGTATGTGTAATAGTACCTAAAATAAAGATGTGTGGATACAAAAACATTCGTACAAATGAGCAGCGATCATTTTCTTGTTTCTGATCGAGACGATCAGTTTCTCTACTTGAACAGACTCCGTGATTTGCCCATCTCTAACCAGATCTAATTGGGATTAGTAGAACGCTTCTGCAAAGCTTCCACCCGACTAAAAGATAAGCGTGGGCGGTAAAGGGCATACTTAACTAAAAGCTACATATATTGGCTTCAACACGGTAGATTCGTAAAAGTTTGATATACATATATGATATATATAGCAAAGTAGCGTTTTCGTCCGAATTCCGGAGAAAAATTTTAAGTGAGCCGTGAAAATGGTTATCTGCTGATCGCTTTCGAGAACCGTGACACGCGCGCGAATCTCCCCGGGACTTGAATTTAAAAAGCTCACGTCCACGTGCGAAGAGTCAGCTCAAGGTTTGTAATAGCGATTTTTACGCAGGAAGACGAGATTGACGATTGATATCGGACGGGAGGAAAAATCATTCAGAAACGACGTCCGGAGTATCCGGCATCGTATAACTTACAAAGACTGTCGGTGCGCCCCGGCATGGAATGCATTCCGGGCACGGATACAGAGACCGAGAGCGCTTCCTGATGCTTCAGCATCTGTCGGCGTCGCTGCCAGGTAAAAGTCCATGCCGCTATGATGGCAATCTGGGCGACAAGGAAGACCGTGCCGGCAATGATGGCCTCGCCCAGGTTGATGCACATGCCCATCGTCGATGATATGTCTTCGCTTTCGATGAAAACGGTGTCCCTCGTCGCGGAGGCGTTCGATAACTTACCGTCACGCTCGAAGCCGAACTTGTCCGTGATCTGAATAGACTGCACCAAAAGGAGATCCTCGCGGCTCTGGGAAACGGCGACAGTGGAACGGCGGCGGCGGCGTCTGCCGAAGGAGATCACCGAGCGTAATTCACCAGTCGTCTCCTCCTGATCGCACTGCACAGGCTCACAGGCCGGCATACACGGAGTGACCAGAGCGCGGAATTGCACCACTTCCGAACTCGGGAACTTGAAGGCATCAAAATGCGATAGCAGTATCTGTAATGGAAGCACAGAGAAAAAGAGATGATAAATGGCTTAAGAATTTACTTAGTAAAATTTATATGAATGAAAAAAAAAATTCTATTTATATACATATATCGAGACAAAGATATTATATATGATAGATCACAGGCTTCAATAGCGAAGCCATTGAAGATGTTTTATAATGTTATGAATACGAGAGATTACACAATTAAATATATAATTAAACACATACAATTTAAAAAAAATGCAGTGATACGGGATACCAATTTATGTTTCAGATTATTTAAATTAATTGAACTTGGCCACATAGTTTCAGCAAATGAATTTATTTATGAAAAACCTTTTTTAAGGGATATTATATCTAAAGTTTTTATATAAATGAATGAAATTTTCTCAGCTATCAATAATAATGATCCGTAAATGAACTTCATAATTTTCGCTTCTAATTTTTGGCGCATAGCGCAGTGAATAAATTTCACAGGAGCAGGAGAATTCGATACGTGGAATGTAATAAAACGAACTTCCTTGTACCCTATCGGGGTCTCTTTCGACGAATTGCAAGTCACGTAACCAATTGTTTCACGCCGTTACCTGTCGTTCGGATAATACATAAACACCTGTGCCGAATGGCTGTTCGGAACGCAACGATTTCGCCTTTCGAGGGGAGTGAGGAGGATAGGGGGGCGCTTTTACCGAGCTCGCATACCGTTAGCAAACTACAGCGTTGATATTATGAGATTTGCGGCACGTCTCCTCGTCACTTCTTCTCTTTCGCCGCTCTTTATTATCTTGGTAGCTGCGTATACAATTTTGCGCGGTTTTTTGATTGTGCGAAAGAAACAAATTAAAGTGCCATCAAGCACCTATATTAACTGAGAGGTGTTTGCGTCGGAGATTTCGAAATGTCAGATTTTTTCCTAACTTTTTTTTTCACGAGGTTTGGAACTGCCCAACAATAACAAACGTAATCAACGCAGCCGCGAAGCGCGAGTATCTTCCTTTTTTTCTCCTTTTTTTTTATTTTGCACACTCGTAATTCATACGCCGTCGACTCAACTAAGCTATGTCGCATTAATTCTGAAATTCCGACATGGGCGGTCGTTCGCTCACAGGGTTCAGCGTGGATGCGGAATAATCTTATTCATATCTCGCTCCTATATAAATTTTCAACTGTATCCCAAAGTCGCGAACGACGTGATTTCACTCACGATGACGCGTCGTAAATACGGACAGTGTAAGAAAAAAAAAACAACAAGCTTTTACAAAAAGAAAAGGATTATATATATACAGAATGCGGATGTGTATCAGGGATATCGCGTAACTCGGCGGGCGTCAGCCGTCACACGCAATATACGTAAGATATGATTGCTTCAAACTGGTTTTTCGCGGCAGCTGCGTCGAATTTTTTTGCTCTTTATTAGGTAAGGCCATATAACGGCAATTACACGGGATTATGACATGAAAAACAGCCCAAGTACCCGCTTTTACGCGCGCCATTAGAGCGCGCATATATCCGCTCTGGCAAATGGTGCGACCAAGCGCATTGCTGCAATTCCTATTTTCTCGCGACAAGCGGACCTATCCGTTAAAATCTTTTTTATTCGTGTACATCCTATTACAGTTATACATTACGCGAAAAAAATTTTTTTTTGTTGCTTCTTGATACTGCGATAGCTGGTATTGATCTACGGATGTTGAAGAAGTATATATTATCCGTAGAGTCTTTCTTCTGTGAAACGAACATATAATAATCATTCTTGTTCGCTCGTTAGACTTGTCGTCCGCGAAATAAGCTCGCGATGATCGCTTTACCGAGAAACACCGGACGTATATATTCATAGCGGCCGCCGTTGCATGTATGTAACGCGCATCATTGATTTCTCTTCATTCGGATCATTTGCAAGGTCGCGGTGTCAAACCCCCCGATGCGTTCCTCCCAATCCACTCCCCTCTTGAAACTGTGAAAGGCCTGGGGTACGCAGGGTTAGCGCCACGCTCCTCATGTACACGTCGAAAACTGGTTTCTGCGGCGCATTACCAAGTTCATCGTATTTACACACCGAGCACGTATATTATCGGCGGGAAGTAAGACATTAAAATATGCTTCGTTCCACGTACAGCTTCATTTAGCCGTTTCTTTGCCTGCGCTGCGCGTCTAGTGGAACGAGCGGAACTTTATTAACCCAACGTCATCCCGCGCAGAAAGAGTAGCGGAAGGTCCATTCTCCGCGGGGGAAAAGCAAGAGCGAGCGGCTGCATCCGAAGCGGGGAGAAGAAGAGCGTAAAAGCGGATCGAAGGGGAAGACAGAAGGGAATAGAAAAGCCCGGGGACGCGAATCCGCGAGGGAGAAAAAGAGAGAAATACGTAGCTAGACGCCGGGAAAAGAAACATGGGTTGTATCCACGACATCTGGTACGCGCCGACGATAAGTCTCCTTCAGCGGGAACGATGTCGGCGATGGGAAAGGACGAGGAAGAAAGGACGGCAGGAGGGGCAGGGGGAGGGAGGCCGTCATAAATGTACCGCGGCAGATCAGTCAGATCGTAAGGATCGCGCCCGCGCTTTTACGGCGCGGCTCAACTTGATCCTCCTGTCTGCTTTATAAGTCGGCCGCGGGCTCTCTTCTCTCCCTCTCCTCTCTCTCTTTCTTCATCTTCCTCATTCTTCCGGTTAGTCCTAACATCCGTAGGTACGCGCTTCCGTATGAGTTTACGTACACAGATGTGTGGCGTGTGGCGGTTGAGAAATGTTTCCAATTTCATTCAAACCGGTTGTGAAATGGAAGAGAGCCTCGTAGCGCGGCCCGGTTACGTGACGGACATACCGGAAAACCGAACTTTTGGCAAATACTGGTTAGAGACGGGACGCAATGCTGCAGCACTCTATGGAGCTTCGCGCGCTTCCTCTGACAACGATCATTTCTCTTTTCGCGCGTTTTTGATCTAGGATTAATAAAATCCAACGGCGATGTACCGATGTTGTTCTTCGCGACGCGTTTATTGCAGAGTTTTTCATATTTATGCACAATTACTTTCCATTTATATAGAAATTTATATTAACGGCATGAACAATTAGATTCTGTATATATATAGGAAACTATATATGTGTGAGGATTTTTCTGTATTAATAGAATAGAAATTCACAGAAAGAGCTTATGATTTTATATCTTTGACTATCAAACAGTTGGATTCATGAATAATACGTTACATGATAGAATTTATATGGAAATAAATATGTTTTCGAATATGTTTAACGAATAAATCGGATAAAAGTTTATGGTTTCTGTCTTACATTTACAAAATTTATTTAATAAGACTGAGACATTAGATTTTATACATTCTCATTAGAATATAACATCATTCCATATTTAACTTTCTAATTTGTGCATGATAGCTTTCAATGCATTAATTAATTACTTACTTAGCAAAAACACGATGACGCTCACAAATAACGAGAGCGGATGTTGATAAGAACACACTATATATGCCGCGAAGGCTATATACAAAAAAAATATTATAATTTTATTTATAATAAGCTTAAAAAAGAATTCTTTAACGCGCTCGACGAACAAGATCACATATAACTTAATTATCTGAATACTTTACATTATTAGTTTAAATTATTATTTTAAATTATTATTTTAAATTATTCCCTACTATCAAAGAATTTTTATAGCGAACAAAATTCAAATATTATCAATATAAATATCAATTATTTAATTAAAATATTCGTCTTATTTATAAGCGAGTCTTACATTAGGTTTAGGCGTTTTAAGGCTTCGGTTTGTTTGGATATTGTATGTGTGTTGATGTATATGTAAGAATAAAAAAAAAAAAGAAAAATGTATTTAAAAAATGTGCATAAATGTCACATATTGTCGTCAATCTAATTATTTTAACATAGTTATATTTTTGAAAATGTGTTTGACATTGCCGTGTTCTTGGAATGCACGATGACGAATATCGATCAAATGCGGAATCTAGTTTGATCTGAATCTCGTTCTGGACAAGAATACATTAATTTATATATCGATGCTTGATATGCACTATGATGCGGAATGCAATCCCAATCAATATAAATTCGATCCGGGACGATTCAATAAAAAGAACAAACATAATACCATCATGCGTTTACTTCCCATTCAGGGAAAACTCGAGCGCATTCGTAAATAAGAGAATCAATTTAATTATGAAAAATTAAAGGTCGACGTATTTCCAAACACATATCAAGTCAGAATGAATCATTAAGTATCGATTTTTTGTATTTTTTAACAGTCTAAATTTATAGGAATTATAAATATCACTGAAATTATTTTAAAATTATTTATATTTCAGAAGCGGAAATTGTATGGTTTGTAATATACTTCAATAACAATATATTTTAAAAATGTTTCTTTTTCCGAAATGCTCTTTTTCTCCATATTATTTTAGAAAATTGTAAAATTTTTCTAAGAACAAAATATTAAACAAAATTAAAATGCTTTTTAGACCAAATTTACAACTATATATGATGATATTATTCTTTGAAAAAGTATTTCGTAATTCTCTACAAAAATTTGTACAATACTTAATCTTGACATATGTTAAAGAGGATTTTAAAATTCAATAATTTTTAAACTACGTTTATAGTATATAGGAAAACATAGTATATAGGTAAGGTAGAAATGATATATATCAACAAAAAATATGACATATCTTTGATATATGACTTTAACATATGACTGTGACATATGACTTTGGCATATATTTAGAAGATGATAATGTTTTAAAGAATTTTGAAAAAAATTTGATTTACACTATCCTTTATTATTCATTAAAAAATTAATAAAGAATGTTGCGCTTATGCAAACAAGCGTGATAGTTTAATTCAATACAAAGTTTGTTTCAATACAAATTTGCATTAATTGCATGTTTACACATTAAAGTCGATGCATGGGCGTACATAAAAAGAGCTTCATTTTTTTCTGCACTTCAAACCCGAGTAAAACAAGAGCTTTGCCTTTTTGTTTTGC